AACCTGTCATCGAATCCAGTCCCCTGCCTCATGACAGGACTCAGCACTGTCTAGACTATCCCTGATAGATGTCTATCTAACCTGCTATTAAATATCACCAGAGATGGAGATCCCACAAGCTCCGTAGGCAACTTATTCCAGTGTTTAGTCACCTTGACAGTTAGGAATTTTTTCCTAATGTCCAACCTAAACCTCCCTTGCTGCAGTTTAAGCCCATTGCTTCTTGTCCTATTCTCAGAGGCTAAGGAGAACAATTTTTCTCCCCCCTCCTTGTGACACCCTTTTAGATACCTGATAACTGCTATCATGTCCCCTCTCAGTTTTCTCCTTTCCAAACTAAACAAGCCTAATTCTTTCAGTCTTCCTTCATGGGTCATGACCTTTAATCATTCTTGTTGCTCTTCTCTTGACCTTCTCCAATTTCTCCACATCTTTCTTGAAATGTGGTGCCCAGAACTGGACACAATACTCCAACTGAGGCCTAATCAGCGCAGAGTAGAGCAGAAGAACGACTCCTTATGTCTTGCTCACAACACTCCTGTTAATGCATCCCAGAATCATGTTTGGTTTTTTTGCAACAGCATCACATTGTTGACTCATGTTTAACCTGTGGTCCACTATGACCCCTAAATCCCTTTCAGCAGTACTGCTTCCCAGATATTTGCTTCCCATTCTGTATGTGTGAATCTGATTGTTCCTTCCTAAGTGGAGTACTATGCATTTGTCCTTATTAAACTTCATCCTATTTACCTCAGACCATTTCTCTAGTTTGTTCAGATCATTTTGAATTATGACCCTGTTCTCCAAAGCACTTGCAACCCCTCCCAGCTTAGTATCATCTGCAAACTTAATAAGTGTACTCTCTATGCTGTCATCTAAATCATTGATGAAGATATTGAATAGAACTGGTCCCAAAACAGACCATTAATAAGTACTCTCTTAGAATAGTTATCCAGCTAATTATGCACCCATCTTAGAGTAGCCCCATCTATGTTGTATTTCCCTAGTTTATTGATAAGACGGTCATGCGAGACCGTGTCAAATGCCTTACTAAAGTCTAGGTATACCATGTCTACCGCTTCTCCCTTATCCACAAGGCTTGATATCCTATCAAAGAACACTATCAGATTGGTTTGACATGATTTGTTCTTTACAAATCCATAATACATCTCTTCTTCAAACAAGGAAAATAATCATTGTAGCTTTTATGCCTGTGACATCACCTACAGAGGATCAGCCAAGTCTTGAAGTGGGTCAGTAAATGAATAGTAGTAGGAATAAAAGACCTTCATGAGCTATGTGCAAAAGGAAAGATGGGGGAGAAGGAATCCAAAAGGGAATCTGTGAACTGAAGGCTCAGCAGAAGTTAAAATAGGAAGGGAGCTCAAGCCTGAAAACAGCGACCAACTGCCGTTTATTTTTTTCGGCATTTGATAGGCTGATCCTTATGGGGCTAGTTAATCCTTCAGTTAGTTTTGAAACTTTCTGTAGTTATACTCATTAAAAAAAACTATGGAAGAGCCAAGTCCTACTTATTTTTTTAAACATTTTTTTTGTATCTGGACTATGGAATAGCACCAAAATGGTAGAAATAGAAAACAAAGCAAAATTCTAGTTTTCTAAACACACGCTTTCATTAAGAATGAATTGCCAATGGTTCTGGCTGTTTTAGTTGCAGATAATGGTACAAAGCATTCCGCTATTCAAAGAGATTCACTATCTCTTTATGAATATGAGGAAAAAACCAGGTTAGTAGATGAAATATTCCCACAATAAACAATACCATTGGGGGGGGGGGGGGTAATGG